GCTCATTAGTGAGAATTAGTCAGCTTTCATAAAATGGAGAAGCATAATGGAGAATGTTCTCTTGGCTCAAGAATTAGCGATGGATCTGGATAAGCATTGCAGAGGTGGGAACCTAATCTTTAAATTGGACATTAGAAAGGCTTATGACACCATAAACTGGGAGTTCATTGAGGAAGTGCTATATGCTAAGGGATTCACACAGCAATTTATCTTGCTGATACACAGATGGCTAAGAAACAACTCTCAATCAGTGTTCATTAATGGTAAATCTCATGGTTTCTTCACTTCATCAAGAGGAATCAAGCAAGGTGACCCCTTATCTCCTACTATATTCATTATTATTTTTTATCACCTCTCAAAATTCTTAAATCAACTTATGGTTACATCCCCTCACACACTCTACAGTCATAGATCTAACCTTGCTGTGAATCATTTAGCATTTGCTGATGATGTAATTATTTTTCTTAAAGCAACTAAGCCAGCTGTTAAATTGGTTATTCAATGCCTGAAAAAGTTTCAGGAATGTTCGGGTATGCAACTCCACACTACGAAATGTTAATTGGTGTTCAGCAAAAGAGTTAAGCTTGGGGATTTCAGACCTCAGTGGATTCAATTCCAACTCTTTGCCTTTCAAATACTTGGGCACTTTGTTATTGAAGGGGAGAACTAGGTAAGTCCAATTTGATGAGTGTGTCACCAAAATTCAGGACAAGCTGAACTGTTGGGCTAACTCCTTTCTTTCCAATGGGGGTAGAGTTACTCTTCTCAAATGTGTCTTGACAGCTCTTCCATCCTACATCTCACAGGTTTCTGTTATGAATAAATCCACCCAATTAACTCTGGAAAGATTGTTTAATAGATTCATGAGGGCAGGTCAGAGGAAACAAATGCATTGGATCGGGTGGAAAAAACTTTGTGGAAGCACTAAAGCTGGTGGGCTTGGGTTCAAAAGTATCCAACAAATCTCCCAAATCAACTTCTGTAAGCCTTGGATTATGTTCAGAGCTCAAATTTCTCTTTGGGCTAAATTCTTGAAGGGTAAATACTGCAAGGCCTAGACTGATATGCTAAAGGTAAGGACACAGGCTGAAAAACTTATTTATTTGGAAATTGGGAGAGGACAAGCTTAATATTTGGTTGGATAATTAGACTGCTGAGAGCTTAATCGACCCCCATCTCTTTCTCCCCTTAATCCTTCAACTCAGGTGGCTGATTTATGGCTCAATGGTGATTGGAATCAGCAAGCTCTACAGAACATACTGGATAACAGAATCCTACAGAAGTCTTGAAATGCAGCTTTAACAGAGATAGTAAAGATAAACTGATTGTAAAAAAGGTGTCCTAGTCTTTATCAGCATCCATATCAAACTTCTGTTTTCCACAACAAGAAGTCACTTGGGGCAAATGTGTGTGGAATAAATTCCTTTCCCCTTCTATGTCATTTTTTTCTTGGAGATTATTTCATGGCTTTCTTCCCACATATGACATACTGAAGTTAAAAGGTTTGAGAGGCCCCTCTAGATGTGGGTTCTGTATGTCCCAAGAGGAATCTATTCAGCATTTATTTTTTAACTGTACCACTGTTCAATAAGTTTGGAACTGTTTGATGCCCAAACTGAAGTTAA